ATATATATATATATATATATATATATATATATATATGTTATGAGGAAAAATATTTCAGAATTTTCAAAAAAGTACTTCGATTTGTACTTATTTCAGAATAAGTAAATCGTTTCATTTTCTTAGTAATTTTCGAGCTTTCATTTCCTTTAGAAATGGCATTTAAAATTTGAGAAAATACAATGTGATTAATCTCTTCTTTTTGTTACTTTTTCCTGAACATTACTGAACATTTCTGAACAACATTTTTAAAAATCACTTTTTATTCCGTTCGTGAAATTCTAACGCTGAGAAATAATTAACTACAATGAAGTTGAAGGTCACAATTGCTAATCAAGAATTATATAAGTATTTGTTATGCATTTGTATTAGGTATAGAGAATACGATTATGTATTCTAACTGCGTTCTTTTCTAATACATTTGATAATGGTATCTTTTTTACGCAAATTTGTAAATATTTGCCCTAGATCTTATATGTTAAAATTTCTTCTTGTGTTACACTGTTATTATATTTTCATTTTATGCGGGTCACTGTCGGAACTGGTTTTTGATGTGCGTATTCGAGCAAAATCGAATTCAAAAATCCTTGGAAACTGCACTTTTTACATCCATAATTGCAACTTATACAATAGATTAATACATTCTAATGCTCTAATGTCATGCTATTCAATGCAAAGGATAACTAACATTATAATGCATTTTTGTTATTACGCAACATAAAACTCAAGAATAGATTTAATGAAATATAATATGATAATAGAAATTATTGCAAGTCAATGTGTTTATTGCATAACAACGTAATCGTTGTTTCCTTTATACTTCCAAATGTATATGTACATATATTATTCGTATATAAAATTCAAACAAGATTAAAAATTCGTTGATTAAACTTCATTAAATTGAACTAACGAAAGTGATATTTTGAAATAGCAATTTTATTAGAAACGTCTAGCTTACTAAAAAAAGATAACTTTAGTATATATTTTTTAGCACGTTACTAATGTATTTCTTTTCCCTTTTTTTAGATGTTACAAAGTGGCAGCAATACGCAAAGTGTGTGAAGTACGTGCAAGGAATATTTCATATTTATGTAGTGCAGTCAATAATAAAACAATCGATGAGTACTTAAGTATACAGCACGTACTTATTGCAAATAACATTATATTGTATAATACCGCTTTTTACATGGTGGGGACAGAATTTATCTGCTGACATTTCTTAAGACTTTAGTACTCGCTCATTCTATCCGCGTAATAGTTCGAGGAGGTTCAGTTAATAGAAACCGCGAGAAAAAAAAATTATTAACGACAATGATTGTTTTTAAACTTTCTCTTTTGAGTGTTATATACTTAACTTTAGGTAATCTTTCTTTTTTTTTTTGTTATATTTTCGCGACTTCTTAAATCCTCAAATATTGTGTATCAAATTGTGAAGTGAAAAGCGTGAAAAATATTATAACTTGTTGGTACCTCTTTAATTGTGACTATTTCTAATACTTGAATATTTAAGTTTTAGAATGTTCTTGAAATAATAATGTAATATGTCGTATGTTTTTACCTTTTAGAATGTCCTACACTAGTTCAGAATGTTAAGATAAGTAATGATGAAGATAATAGAGAAATTGAAGATGATACTCTTCAACTGGTAACAGTGGTAAATATGAAAAATATCGAATGTAAAAAAAAAAATTTTTTTGATATTATCACATTCCTTTTTTCTTTCCATACTTGGATCTTACATCTACTTGTATTTGGATTAATGTTATCACATGATCCATAAAAGAGATAAACTCTCTATTCATGACAATAAACTTTTAGGTAATAAGGCATGGAGACAGAGCACCACAGGATACTTATCCAAACGATCCTTATGTTAATAATTCCATGGAACCTTATGGTTGGGGTCAATTAACAAATGTAATGTTTTATTATTGTTTTTGTTACTATATCAGGATTTTCATTATCAACATAATTAATCTTGTGTAGGAAGGAAGAAGGAATCAATACAATCAAGGTCTTTTCTTACGGGAACGGTACAACAATTTTTTGGGTTTAATTTATACTCCTAATATATTTTATTTGCAATCTACTGCTCTCGATCGTACAAAAATGTCTGCTATGCTGGAAGCAGCAGCTTTGTGGAAACCAACTGAAAAACAGTCCTTTAAACGTGATTTAGCTTGGCAACCTGTTACTTTATTTTATCAACCATATTCAGAAGATACGGTATAAATCTTATTTTACATTATGAACGATATAATGATTTAATAAATTGATATTTAAATATTTTTATATTTCCAGTTGATGACAATATGGGATACTTGTCCAAAATATACTAAATTACGACATGCAGTTATGAACTTATCACAAATTCAACAAATTCAAGAGAAGAATAAACATCTTTATGAAGAATTGACGAATTTAACGGGTATGATGATTTCAACTCCAGGTGATGTGAGTTCGCTTTACGGAACTTTAATAGCAGAAGTTTGTATCAAATGTTTAATAAAAACGAAAAATTATATAAAATTTTATTAACATTGCAAATTGGTTATTGTAGGAATATATGAACTTAACTCTTCCTGAGTGGGCTAAACATTATTATCCTGATAAATTAATACCACTTACATTGTACGATTTTCAACTTAATGGGTATAATGATGAGCTTAAAAGACTTAAAGGAGGACCTTTTCTAAAAAAGATTATTACAGATATGATAACAAAGAAAGATAATACTTTAGAACCTGAAGAAAGGAAAATGTTTATGTATATTGGTCATGACAGTACCATTGTAACTTTGATGGATGTTATGCATGTATGGAACAATCAAATGCCATATTATAATATTATGGTAATGATTGAATTACATAAGAAAAACGACGAATGGACTGTTCAGGTAAACTATAAATTAAAAAATTCAAATGTAAAAATTATTTTTATTATTTTTTTATATTTTATTCTTCTCAGATATTCTTAAGAAATACCACTAAACACGGGCCATATCCTTTGACTGTTCCTGGATGTTCAACAATATGTCCTCTTGAAAAGTTCATACAGATTTTAAAACCAATGATTCCAGATAATTGGGATAAGGAATGTGAAGTTGACGGAGACTATATACTTCCACCTGCTCCTCTTCCTTAATTATAATTATTTGGTAAAACTGAATCATAAGGAATGCGATAAAAGTATTGTTTAAATTATCAGTTATTGATAATAAAGATTCATTTAAGAATATTTTTTTAATTTTAACCCTAAAATATGAACAGTTTTTTAATTTGCATAAATTAATTTGTAATAACAAGTAAATATTATTTTCTTAAAATGTATTTATTTACATTTTAAGTATGTACTTTCTTTATTACACGTTTTATTAAATACTTTCTCTATATTCTATTTATTTGCTATAAAAAATATGTATGTATAAGAAATAAACGTACATGATAGTTTTAAACAAATGCTTGTAAATAGATTTTTGTTTGTTTCTAGGCGAATATTTTCTCTTCTCGACGTTTTTTCGTAACCACTGTGCCAGGTTTGTGTTGAGCATCTGGATGATTTAGTAATTCAGGTGGACAGGTGGATATAGGGCTTGCAAGAATAGTTTGTTTCAAATCATAGAATAGATGACTGTCATCTTTGGTACAAAATGAAATAGCAAGACCAGCTTTTCCAGCACGTCCAGTTCTACCAATACGATGTGTGTAATCTAGAAACAGGTGAGAAACAGTATATATTCTTGTTCATATAATATATAATTTTAATAAACTACACTTACCTTCTATAGTCTTAGCCATATCATAATTAATGACCATAGATACATCTTTAATATCGATACCACGACCTGCTACATCAGTGGCAACCAGAATGTCTTTACTACCACTTTTCAAAGAAGCAAGTGCGTACTCTCTTTGTTCTTGTCCTTTGCCACCATGAAGAGTACAAGCATTGTACTGAAAAATGAAATAAAATATTGCATTAAAAAATTTTCACAATACAAATAAAATATGTTCTCGTTGGATTTAGAATGATATAAGATAATTAAAATTCAGACATACGCCTAGTTTTTCTAAACCTCTTGCAAGAACATCAGCTCCCTTCTTTTGATTAACGAATATAATGACTGGTGGTTCAACTCCTCTGCTAAGTATTTCCATTAATTTCTTACGCTTATCAGCTTCACCCATTATATGTACGATTTGTTCCGTTCTTTCTGTTGGTTTTCCTACGCTGCCGATATATACAACAGCAGGCCGTCTTAAATAAGTTCTAGCTAATCGTTCTACCGCAGGTGGCATAGTTGCAGTAAACATTACAGTCTGAAACAATAATAAATATCTTAATTATTTAGCTCCAGTTTAAAACAGTATCAATACAGTATCAAATATTTTTTACTTGTCTATATTTTTTCTTTGTATTATAATTAGCTAAAAGCTTTTCTTCATTTTCGGCATCTTCATTATCTGGTTTTAAGTTTGTAACTGGCATGTATTCCAAAATTTTTTGAACATCTGAAAATTCGTATGGTAATTAGTATTTAGCTATACACGACTTAGTACTATAAAGAACATACCTGGTTCAAAACCCATGTCTATCATTCTATCAGCTTCGTCCAATACAATGTAAGTACATTGATTTAAAACTAAGTATCGATTTTCTAATACATCAATTAATCGTCCTGGTGTGGCTATAACGATCTATAATAACAGAAATTGATTTAAAATTTAGAAAATCATAAATATTCTTTTATATCATATAAAGTACCTCGCAACCCATTCTCAATCTAAATCCCTGTTCTTCTCTTGAGAGACCTCCTACAACTACAACCGTTCTTATACCTAATGGTTGTCCGAATTTATTAGTCTCTTCTTCAATTTGTTGAGCCAACTCACTAAAAAGATGTAGACTATTAGTAAATTAAATTTAAATTTAAGGTAAAGAATGTGATTAATAAACATACCGAGTTGGCGCTAAAATTATACTATAAGGACCTTGATCTGCTTCTTCTAATCTTTCAATTTTTGGTAAACTAGTAATCCATAACAGCAATGGAATTAAAAATGCTAGAGTTTTTCCAGATCCAGTTTCAGCAACTCCAATAATATCACGATTTTGAAGTCCTATGGGAATAGCTTGTCTCTGAATAGGTGTTAAATCTTTATATCCGACTTTATCAATAATATCAAGAATTTCTTTTGGAAATCCTGATTCTTTCCATGATCTAATTGGATCAGGTATACGTCCTCCTTTTATTGTAATATTATAATCCTCTCTAAATATACGCCAATCTCTTTCTGTCATTTCATGAAGAGCTTTCTCTGACCAATGTCTGTCATCCCATTTTTGTTTCTCCTCTTT